GGGCGATTTTGTTTACTCCAGGAAATACTGACAATTTTTTGAAGCTATTTTGAGTAGCTGAGTCACTGATTCTAATACATCATATTCGCAATGGTCAATGTGCACATGAGGCTAGCAGCATCGCGATCACCACTTTCAAACTAACCCTACCCTCAGCTTTACCCAGAAGTATGCTTGTTTCTCTCCGCTAAGGGATTCTCCAAATTTTCCACATCCAGACAAGGATATACGTTGTTATTTTCACGATCCACGCCCGCATAATTCCGTTCTCAATTTTATTTCCTTAATCGCGACACGCTACTATGAACTGCCATGGTACTTTCCAGACGTGAGGGTTTACCTATAGTTTCAGCAATGCCTGTCGGACATTCCCGAACCTCGCCGCACCTATTGCCATTTCGACTGATTGCGAACATCCACATACGCCATGAAACCTTGCAGGTTAATGTGGCCGATCATTGACGACCTACAGCATATCACAACACTAGTCCAACCGTTACCAAAATACACTACGAGTCTCCGAACCACCCCTGCAGCAACGAGTAGACCAGGCAAACTTTACAAATCTCCTGCCACGCTCATAAGTCTCTCCATACTCTACAGCACTGAAACACAAATTTCTCATCCTATACTGACCGTTCCAGTGTGCCTATTATCAATGATACCTGATACGCATCTCTCCCGTTTCAATTTGTTTCCTAAAGTAACAAACGTGCTTTCAAAAATGGCCAAGTTCGTGAGCTTGCTTCTCATTCGCGGAGGAAATAAGTTTTCGCACATGAGGACATACTAGGAATCCACTCCCTCTTCCCCTGCTCGTGCATGGGACTTTCTCAATCTCGGACTTGACATAACCGTAGGAAATCCACTTGCGCAGTTCTGTATAGCCAATATTGGAGAACCTGTTTGCTAGCTTAATCCAACTCCAGCTTCCCTGACTCTCATAGGCTAGCTTCATTAATCAGTGACTACACATTCAGATTCAATTATAAATCAAAGGCGCATCTAGCGATATCAAACTCCGCTTTAAAACCAGTCACTAATACGTTATCCCCAACGCTTATACATTCATAATAATACAGATGCAATTGAATTCACCAGCAAAATAATCAAACATAACAAGACAGATGAAAACAGAAAGTGATCACTGATCACAACTCAATTTTATTTCACTTTCCCTAGGTTCAAGCAATTAAAAGTAAATAATGAAGATAAAGTAAGCAAAGTTAAGCAAAAATTAAAGCAAAAAAATTAAAAGTAAAAGTAAATAATGTGGTCATTCAACCACGGCTCATTTATTAGTGCCCTAAATTTTACGTTTCGAATGAAAAGATAACGACAATAAAGAAACATCCGAACGTTAAATATATCAAAGTCATGACCCAAATTTGGACTATTCCCCAGCCTGGATTCTCGCTGTGCAGAGCAACTAAGAAGGCAAGCGTTTTCCGTGCTGGTAACTTAAATCTACGCACGCTTGAGGCTGATTGAACTAGAAAGACTCGATCAAGAGAAGGTTCAATTCAATGCTTCTTACTTCTCAAATGTCAAATTTATCATTTGAGTGCCCGCGATGATAGTGCTTTGAAAATTCTTAGGATCTTAGTTAAGCATTCGTCCTTCATAAGTACAACAATTTGAGAGTCCATAATTCTGTCAGTTCTGAGCCTGGGAAGACCTTGTGCTCCCAGCCTGGAAAGAAGTTAAGCTCCCGTATATGCGCTCAACTGCATATGCCTGGCTTAACCTCAAGCTGAGATTTATACTCGCGATCATGTTCAGTCTCCTGAAGGCACAAGTGATATGTTTTAGTATTGTCGAGTCACTTCACTAGCACCAGCGAGAGGAAATGATTATACTGGCAATGGAAAAGAAGTTAATTAATATCGAAGAAGTTGTATGAATGCAGTATGAACGTGACACATAGATAAGCTTCGGCGAGTAACCACAAACACAAGAGAGATTTCCCCTTATAATGTATTCAATAACATTCAAACTAAGCGGAATGATTTCATATATGCAGCCAATGATCAACCCGATAAAATTCCCCCCTGTTAAGGGAAAGTGCGCACGGTGGGTCCGGGAACCCCCGTTACCTGAGCAAATG